TAACGACCCTTTAGTCCCGGTTCAATAACCGGGACTAAAGGCCCTTACGAACCGGGACTAAAGGCCGGTTTTCTACTAGTGCTCCTAGGCTTTCCTTTTCCCCTCATAGTATCTTTTAAGCCAAGACTCTAGGAGGCATAGGTTCAAATCTTGGAGGTTAGGAATACCTAGCCCTCCAAATTCCTTTCACCGGTTGGCTAAGTGGAGCTTCCTATATTTTTTAAAAATCAAAGTACCTTTTTTTTGAATTGGTGATTTTTTTTCTTTCAAAATCACCGTAATTGATTTCTAATATTTCGAATGTTTGTGGAAAAGTCACCATCAGCGCCTCAGCGGTCGATCGGTCCATAAATAAACCAGTCAATGGTTAAAATTCACTGATTTTTAAAGTCAACTCCCACAGATCCTTCCCCTCGCTCGCTTCATTGGGTGCGGCCCGCTCACGAAGCGCTGGCTGGTAGAAAAAGTCCAGCGTGCTGTCCACTGGCCAGAATCAGCAGGTCCATACCGAGTGAACGAAGAAGGACGATCTCAAAAAAAAAAAGTGGAATTAAGCAGAAACTCGAGAAACTGAGCCGGATGAACATGGGATGCCATGCCGGTCTCGCGACGCTACGCAGCCTCGACTGCCGCTGTCGACGCGGTCTGCAGTGACATTGCTCGCCCCAGGAGTCTCCCAGCAATAATGCGATGTGAACGGTGTGACTACACGGACGAGCAGCAGCATCCGTGATTGATGGTGGGGCGATTTCTGCAAACAGCGCGAGATCATGCACGCACGCGCAGATCATTATGTCCTTCACTGCTAGGGGTGCAGACAAACTTTAATCTGACAAGAAGATTAAGGGTGCGCGACCGCATATGCATAGCCCTTCGACAAATCCACACTCAAGCGTACAAATGTTGGTTTCGGATCTAGTATTTCACTATTGCCATTATTATTTCAGTTCATGTTTCAGGGAAAACGTTTGAGCTGCATTTCGACATATTACAGTTTTAAGCGTTTGAGCTGTCGTCTTGAGCGGGCAACATCATCATACTACTTATGATGAATACTCCTACAAAGGATGAATCGGCTCCAGCAGAGAGAACTACTGCGGTCATACCGTACGTGGCTTCGTCGTCTCAACTCTCAAGTGGGTCGACAGACGGACTGCTGCGGTGATAGTACGCATTGCTTACTCTGGACTCTATCTCCATCTGGCACCAATAATGCGATTTGTGCTGTAAATTGATGTGACTCAACGGACCAACAGTGGCCTATATCCGGCCAACCATGTTTCTCAAAGAAGACCGTCATCAGCCAGCACGATCCGTGATTCATGGTTCTGCGGTCGTCCTGCAAACAGCGCGCGCACACCTTTTTATGTGCTTCAGCTGGACATTCAGACAAAGAGTGTGTACAACTTTACCCAGAAAAAATGATAAGGAGCACAATTGGAGGTCGGTCAAAATATCCACAGCTAGCTGGAAAAGTGGATACAGAAACTACCATTTCGATTTCCAGCATCATTTGTCCAACATTTTATGGACGTTTCACTTAATTATTTCAAGTATTGCATCGGGTCGGGTGCAGCAGCAGCTTCTATTTTTAGACCCTAAGAGCTTCTACTATTGTTCTTTTTCTTCTCGTCTGCCGAAAAAAGGAAAAGAAAAATTCTAACACAAAAGCATGTTCGCGGACGGCACGGGCGGACACCGCGAAGGAAGCAGTCCCATGTGAGGGCTCCTTTGATTCACAGGGTTTGGGAAGCATAGGAATAGAAAATATACAGGAATAAGATGTGATGTCCACTCAAATCCTACGTCTGATAACAAAACAAAGGATTTTTCCCATAAAGTCCAACCTCATGCTTGTTTTCCTGTGAAAATGAACTAAGAAGTTTCTATAGTATTGGTTCTTGAGGAATACAATCCTATGAATCAAACAACATGTAAAGAAAAAATTCTAGAGGGTGTCAATCCTATAAAATTCCTATGATCATCCTGTAAATCAAAGGAGACCTGAGTGATTGCCAAGGAGAAAATGCTTTGGGGCCGCACTCTTGGCTGCCCTACCGCTATCTATCGGAACAGCAAAGATGGGTGTCGGTGCTCCCTAAAGCGTGTGCATAGGAGGCCTGGCCCGTGGTGTTATCACCGTCCACTTGTGAAAGGTGTTCGGACAGAAAAGGCCCGACGCTGTGCTGCACCACCACCGTCGGCACTGTATGTACTACCATCTCTGTTTAAGATTCTCCATCAGCTCCGAAGACAAACACATATGGTTTATTTTCTCTCATACATAATAGGTTTATGTCCGGCTTTATAGATAAAGCACTGATCAAAGTACACGGCCAAACGATACATTGTGAAGAGGTAGACCTCTTACATAGCGGATCCTGAGATCTTGATACCACGCAGAACCTACACTACCGAAGAAGACCAAGGGGAGATCGGAATACAACGCCATGCCACGCCCTATCACACCTAGGCTCCACGACAACGCCCTCGGGAGGACGAACAACGCAGAGCATCACCACTGCCGAGTCCGAAATGAACAAGGGTCTTCACCCGGAGCCCGGACATGGAGAGGAGAACCACAACGACGTTTTTAAGAAGATAGCGGCGCCCGTAATCAGCATCAAAGCGCGGAGCTTTCGCTCGGCAGCTCAGTCGTGTCCCACGATAGACCCAAAATAGATGCGATGAGCTCCGACTCCCAGATCCGGATCCGGTCACAGCTGACAAGGGTGTGCTCGAGCCACCTACCGCTAGACCTCTCGCCGCCCATACGACCAAGAGGAGAAGCCACCACCACCACGAGGCCCGACGGAAAGCCACTCATGGGGACCTCCGCCTGGCATCCCTATCCCAAGACTCCGCCATCCATCTGCCACACGACACACCAACCCCGGCAGGTAGGATAGAACGCCATCCTTCCACACCTAGCCCGACATCAGTCCCCAGATCTGGGTCAGCACCTCCACCGTAGGAGGCGTCGATGCCTGCTTCCCCAACTAGTCACCGTGGACCTGGGGACATGATCCTAGGACTGCTGACAGCCACCGCGAAGCCGAGCTCTTGCACGATGCCAAATCCGAGATCATCGGTGCCGCACGGCATGACGAGTAGGCGGTGCCAGGACCACCACTACAGCCCAACCCACCCGCGAGGACAACGCTCACGTGCACATCCCGGGCCGAGCCCGAACCTCACCTACCTGGAGAACACCGCGATCTGCCTCGGGCTCAAATCCGACCTGCCCGAGTACAACCCTAGTCAAGGGAGCTGCCGTCATGCGCGTAGTCAACTAGCCTCACACACCACCGGCTCCAACCCAGGAGAAGGAAGACCGCCACGCCGCCGCCCCGAGCCACCAGCCAGACCACGTCCGCCGCGCCGCCGAAGCCCGCACCTCCGCCCCCGCCCACCATAGCCACGAATACCGCACCTTTTGCAGGAACCACCGCCACCTTCATCCGCCGCTGTCGCCAGCCGGCAGGACGACTACATCCAGCCCGTGCCGCCCGACAGCCAGATCTGGATGACAAAACACGTCTAGTCTATGCGGTCCAGACGGTTGCGGGCAGGTTGAGGGTCCCCATTGGAGATGCCGCTACATGACACTTTTACTTATGTGGAGATAGACAAGAAAAAAGTCAAAGAGTGAGCTCTTATGCAAGAGCAGCCTCTACGCATGCTCATAGGTAAAAACATTTAATGAGACAAAATAGATAGAGAGAAACTAAAAAAATATCTAATCTTATAGCCAACCTTATGGGTAACCAATAATACTAACTTTCGATGACATGGCATGTTTATATAGCCAACAGCCGGCTATAGTATTAACCATGTTGTAAGGCCAATTCCAACATGCGACACCAAACAGACAAGGATTTTGTCCCCTTTTCGTCCTTTGGGCCGGAAAACGAACAAACGGACATCGCCGGAAAGGCAGACATGGCACGAGCTCCTACCACCGTGCCCGTGACCTGCTCGTCCTCGTCCATGACGAGCGCCTCCACTCCCGCGAGCGTGCCGGGGAGGCCGGAGTCAACCAGGTGGTGGTGGGTAAACCGGACAACCCTCCTGTTGCCGGAGGTGGTGGCGCTCCAGCTGCGGCACCCTATTGCGGCGGCATCTTGCTGCTCCGGTGGTCCTCATGCAGCGGCACGTCGGCTTTGGATGCGCCCTCCTACGGATTCGGCGACACTCCTGCAGCAGTGCCAGTGAAGTTGGGGTGGGTGAGTGGGGAGAGAGAGAGGTAGGAGGTGAGTGGATCTATGGCAAGTGGGCCAGGTCGGGCAAGCAGGGGACAGAGACGGATCAGGAGTGTTCACAAAACATTTGATTTGCGTACACTTCGGATCCAAACCGCGAGCAAATTTTATCCGTAAATGGGTCCAGACAGACACAAAACAGACAAAAAAATAGGATGGGTCTGCGGTTGAGCCATCGTTTTTGTTCATTTACATTGTTAGGCACACACATACGAAATGGGGTCGTGCGGTTGGAGTTGGGTTAAGAACAAAACATTTCACTGCGGGGTTGAACGCAAAATGTTCTAGCAACCGGCTGAATTCCATCCGCACATACGTGTCCTCTTTAGAGTTTACACTCGTCCCCTCGCACCTCTTCCCAATATACAGTTGTTAGGCTTGGAGTGTATGAAGGAGAACCTAGAGCCACACTGCAGCAAACCACATTTTTCAGCAATGAACCAAGAGAGCAAGATTGAGCTTGTGTTCCGGTAGAAACCAAGGGAGCACGATTGATTGGGTCTGCCGGCTGCCGAGGCCTCGTTCCCCGCCGCTGCCACCTTCGGAAGCACGTCCAGCGGCGCAGTTGTCTTTGGATCGAGGTCAGGCCCCCTCACTAATTAGCTTCAGGAATCCCTTTGTGATATCTCCCTATTCCATTTGTAATCTCTTGCCGAAACATTCGGCTTTTCTTTTATTCAGATCGCGATCTCATGCCTGGTGAGAGGTGACCATCAACAATAGAAGATCGAGTGAGCCATGGATCTCGCCGTGGGGGCCATGGGCTCCCTCCTCCCCAAGCTGCTCGAGGTCATCAAGGACGAGTACAACCTACAGAAGGAATTTAAGGAAAAGATCAAGTCCTGCTCTGCTGAGCTAAAAGCTATGCAAGCTGCCCTTGGCAAGGTGGCAGAGGTGCCGCGGGATCAACTCGATCCCGAGATCAAGGTTTGGGCTGACCAAGTTAGAGAGCAGTCTTACGAAATGGAGGACGTCATCGACTCTCTCCTGGTGCGTGTTGTGGGCTGTGACTCCAACCCCAATGATCATCAGAACAGGCTCAAGAAGCTCTGGGTCAGCTTCAGGGATCTGTTTAAAAAGGGCAAGGATAAACATAGGATTTCCACAGATGTCAAAGAGATTGAGAAGCAGTTGCAAAAAGTCGCCACCCAACACGAAAGGTTTAAAACTCCTAATCTACCTGCAGTCACAAGGGACCCTCTTAATCCTCTCTTGGAGGTTCTCTATGGAGATAAGAAGAATATCATCGGCCTAGAGGAAGCACGGAACGATATTATCAAGAAGATCACCGAGGGGGACTGTAAGAAACTCAAGACACTCTCTATTGTTGGATTTGGAGGATTGGGAAAGACTACGCTTGCCAAAGAAGTATATGATGCCCTTGCAACAAAATTTGAACACAAAGCAATTGTGTCTGTGTCTCGGAATCCCGACATACAGAAAGTATTAAGCGATCTTCTCTTTAAACTTGACCAGAAAATACACGCTAGTCATAATGCAGAAATTTTGGCAGCAGGGAAGCTCATCTTCCTAATCAGAGGATTACTTAGCAACAAAAGGTACGCCATTCATTTATATTGCTGCAGATGACATCCACGCAAGTCACATCTAAGCAGCATCCATAGCATCAATCCTGTGGAAAAATAATTATAATTTTGGTCAGATAAAAATGATATATACCATACATGCATAATATATATATCTAAATAGCTAGCGCTCACTAGCCTATTTCTCTCAACATGCAAGTATACCACCTCACCATTCATCAAACATGGACAAAGGTCCACCACAGCATACAATCATGCATAATAAAAAGCCATGAGAATTTACATTCTATTATGATATTTACATTATACAATAATCAAACACCATAAATCATATTTATTTTCAGTTTTAGTTCTCATATTTTTACTCTAAATATTCATGTTCCATACAACCAATTCTAACTGAATATATTGCTAAATTTTTATACTTGTTTTAGTTCATTTCATAAGGAAAAACGCCAGGTCTCTAAAAATCATATCACCTTATTTTTCATGCATTTCACATTGTACATGCCTATGTCACCACGCCTACTTCTATTTTTCTCCATGTACCTACATTAGCCTCTTGCCACTAATGGGGCTCCTTGTCATGCTCAACTTCATCCTTGACTGCTCTAAACAACCGACACTTTTCTTCTTAATATTTTCAAGTGTACAATATCTACTCTCTTTATTACTTCATAATTGTATTATGTATATTTTGTTTTTCCTTCCCTAAGCCATACGAACATATGGTCTCTGTCCTTTCCGCTCATTTCCATTTCTAGGTATAGAATACAAAATGTCGTTTTCTGTGGCAAATCTACACCGTACTTTGTGATTGTACTTGATAGACATGCATTTCTATTTCCCTTTTAACATACTTTTTGCTATATTAATTATGTACTGTTCTTTACAACTTACTAATAGATCAAATCTCCACCAGTATCCTGATGTTAAAATTTAACCATATGCTAACTTCCGTAAATCTCAACTCTAGAAATAATATTACTTTCATATTTCAATAGATGTTTCACAATGTTATACGATGTGTGTTGGTTTCTGAACGATTATCCTTTTTTAGTCTATATTATACAAGTATCAACAGAATATGTATTTCATCTTTATCATATTTCTCGGCACATTTGTTTTCATGGACATAAAATCCTAGCAATTTCGTACAAAACTATTTGTATGAAGAAACCCCGAAGGTGTTTATATAACTATGGGGACACTGAAATGCATTGTAATCTCCTCTTGTATTAGGGTATAAGTTCCAATATTTGCTAATTTGGCATAAGGTGGTTTGTTTCTCTGTTAGCTTTCGTATTGCCTTGTATCAGGTGATCTTCGTGACAAGAGTTAATGTATCGCCCTAGTGGATTATCACTAATTGCTTTTTTTGGAGAGGTCCAATTCATATGATCGACATGGTGTGCTCATTCTAGTCGAGGGGGTGCATATATGCGTTGAATGTGGTAGCGTGCACAATGCTCCATGGGGCCTCGATTTACATTTTTGTAGGTTGTGATAGTACGATTCAAAGTGTGGGTTGTGAGAGTCAGTATGTACCGAACCCCTTTCCCAAACACCCAACCATGAAAATTCCAAACCTTCAAATCCAAAAATCAAACAGACCCACCGCTTGAGTGGTACTACTCTTTCATGTTTTTGATAAATATTTGGTATTGTTTTGCTAACCTTAGCTCTCGCATTGCCATGTACATAGGTACTTTATAATTATCGATGATTTATGGGATAAAAAAGCATGGAAAGAAATCAGGTATGCACTTGAGGACAATGAGTGTGGAAGTATAATAATCACTACAACCCGCCATGTTGAGATCTCTAAAGAATGTTGCCCTTCTAAAGATTATATGATTCATAAGATGAAATCTCTCTCTGATGATGACTCGCAAAAACTTTTCTATGGAAGAATATTTCCAAGTGAGGTGTGTCCTTCTCGGTTTGAGCAAGTATCCAAAGAGATCTTGAAGAAATGTGCAGGGGTACCATTAGCCATCATTAGTCTGGCTAGTTATTTGGCTAACAATCAGAACAGAGACCGAACTGATAAATGGAAAGATTTGCTCAATTCCATTGGCAGTGGACTTCAAAATGGTGATGATCATGTGGACGAGATGAAGAGGATATTATTATTGAGTTATTATGATCTCCCTTCCTATTTGAAAACATGCTTTTTGTATCTAAGTATCTTTCCTGAAGATCATCATATTAGCAAAGATCGGTTGATAAGGAGATGGATTTGTGAAGGTTTTATCCAAGTAAAAGGTCAAACCAGTCTGCTTGAGCTTGGAGATGCCTACTTCAACGAGTTAGTAAACAGGAACATGATCATGCCGATAAGCATACATGATGGTAGGGTTGAAGCTTGTTGTGTACATGATATAATGCTGGATCTTATATGTGAATTATCAAGCCAAGAAAACTTTGTTACTGTACTGGATTTTATCAAGGGAGACACACCTTTGGAAAAGAAGTTCCGCAGGTTGTCCCTCCAAAAGGGCATGACAGATCCCACCACTACTCGGAAGGCTACCACAAACATGTCACAAGTGAGGTCTTTTACCGCTTTTAGTCCTGCTGTCAGTGAGATTCCCTCTCTTTCTAGATTTCAAGCTTTGCGTGTATTGGATCTGGAAGGTTGTGATCTTGGAGGAAGTCCTGGTGTTGACCTTAGACCTGTTGAGAACTTGTTACATTTGAGATACCTAGGGTTAAGGGGTACAAATGTTGGCAACCTCTCGATGGAAATGGCAAAGCTACATTTTTTGCAGACACTAGACTTGCAACGAACCAATTCGAATGAATTGCCCTCCAGTGTTGTTCAGCTGGGGCATTTGATGTGCCTAATCCTTGATAAAGGCATGCCACTGCCAGAAGGGTTCAGGAACCTGACATGCCTTGAACAGCTGACAGGAGATGGGGTGGGCATTTTTTCTGCAGACAGCGCAAAAGAGCTGGGCGATCTGATCAGGCTAAGGGAGCTCGCCTTTAAGTGGGATTCAAGGAGAAAAAATCCTAGACGATTATTTCCGAAGCCGGACGATCTAAGGAGAATTGATGAACCTTTGACTCATTTCATATATGGTAGTCTGAGAGAAAATAAAGGTGTGCTTGATTCCCTAGACAAACACCTGACAATTGATAAAGCTTTGATTGAATCCCTAGGCAATCTGCCAGAACTCAGGAGTCTGGAGATCACCTCTGCTGGTCCTTGGGATGCCAACCTTATGCAGGATTGGGTGCCCTCTCCAAACCTCTGCAGGTTTAAATATGACGGACTTCTCGAGAGCTTGCCTGCAAAGATTTGTTCTTCGTCACTTCCCCAACTCTCCAACCTATATCTTCATGTCAATAAAGTGCGCCCAGAGGATATCCAGATCCTTGGGATGCTGCCAGCTCTCCATTATGTCACCCTCATGTCCGATCTAGGCGATGGCAAGAACACAGTGGAACAGTTGGTGCTTGGTGCCGCTGCCTTCCCCAGAGTGAGAGTGTGCCTTTTCCGTGATCTTCTACTGGTGCACCCTACCTTCCAACTAGGAGCTATGCCAATGGTGCAACGCCTTCGCTTCGGTCTCCGAGTGAATGACATCCTCAGCCATGACTTCGATTTGAGCATACGGAACCTTCCTTCACTCAAGCAACTCAGAATTGACCTTTTGAATAAGGAAGTCGGCCCTGAAGATTATTCCCAAGCCGTGAACGTGCTGAGGTGTGTGGCGAACGACCATCCCAAAAATCCCACCGTTCATGCTGATAAATACTTCCGAATGACATGATGGAGAGGTAATCCTGCTTCTACACTTAGTTCGGTCTGTCCCATGTACCTTTTGACTTTGTCTAAATACTTTTTTTTTTCAATTGCAGGCTGAGTTGAGCCGAGCGATCAACAAATCCTGTGTCAAGGTATAAATTCCGTCCAGTTGTTTTCTACCTCATATGTTTGTAACTAGTAGTATTATCCTTTTAGCATCTTCTTCAGCTCTCAACTGTCTGTTTACTTCACCACACCACCAAGAATGATGCAATATGAATTGTATGTGACTCTTTGTCTCTGGCTTTGATTTCAGCTACCAGGAGGTGATTCCATCGGCATCGACTCTCTATCGTGCAAGCCTCCATCTTCCAACCACGTATGCATGTTCAATTCATGTTTCTTCTATGTCATCGAGTGCAACTTCTGTGTGCTTTCGCCTGTACTGTTTATTTGGTGAACCATCTAATTTGCTCAGTGTGTAAGAAGGCGAGTTTGGTGGTGTGCCAGGTTTTTTGTCCCTTAGGTTATGTTCCCAGCCAATGTAACTAGAGGGTTTTCCTGGTGTGCGTCGAACTCAGCGAACCTATTTCCCTTTCTATTGTTGTGTTGAATACTGTCTACATTCTTGTAAGATAAAATTGCATGATCCTCTAGTATGTTCTTGCTTTTCCTCGGTTCAGGAACCATTACATTTCTAGGGTCCTCAGTTTTATTGTCTGAAAGCTAGCTAGCTCATGATGAACTATCCTCTTTTAACTTTCCTTCCAAATGAGTAGTTTATGGTGTACAACTTCACTTTTTTTATGATTTGCAGTTGGCTTGTTTGCCTGGCGCTGATGCTGCCTTCATGGCTGCTTTAAGGCTCCTTATTAATTCCTTTCTCAAAATCGATAGAACAAAGGGGTAGTCAGTTCATTTATTTGGATGCTTCACTTGTACAAATGCCGACTAATTTTCTTCAGCCGCTGTGATCTGATCTGGTATTAGTTTAGTTCAGAGTCAGTGTTCCACCGGCGACAACACGGTGCTGTACTTTTAGTTTCTACATTAAGATCTCAAGCAGGTACTTCTGACAAGAACGACAATATATGATCTCACTATATTTGCCAAAACCTTCACACACAGCAAGCAGTCTATACAGAGTCACAAGTATCGCATATTTAGGTACATATGTACCAATCACTAGTAGAAAACGGGTCTTTAGTCCCAGTTCGTAAGGGCCTAACCGGGACTAAAGGGTCGGGACTAAAGCCCTCCACCTTTAATCCCGACTAAAGGAGCTCCACGTGGCCAATTTCTGGAGCTCAATTTTTTTTCATTTTTTTTAATTTTTTCCCGATTTTTAAATTTCCGAATTATTTAAAACCGGCCCCATCCTCTAACCACCCATCATCAGTCATTAATCTCTAATCACCCATCATCACTCATTCCAAAATCGTCTAACTTCCCGGCGGGTCACCCATCCTCTCACTGCTCCAGCCCCAGCATGCTTAACTTCCGATTTCTATTCCGCCTAGTTTCAAGTCTGCACTTGTTGTTTTCCTCACAATAGTCCGCTGTCAATCCTATTAACCCTAAGGAGTTGAAGTTGAGTACGAAGCACTGTTTAAATTTGAAACTATTATTATAAAATATAATAATTATTTAGAAACACTAATATTTGTTGAATAAGTAGTTTGACCATAGTTTAACAACAGTTTGACCAGATTTGACCAAAATTCAAAAAAACTAAAATAATTATTAAAAACACTAATATTCTTGAATAATTATTTAGTAACACTAATGTTCTTGAATAAGTAGTTTGACCACATTTTGACCAAAAATTCAGAAAAACTGAAATTTGAGGATAACTTTTTTCCTTTGAGAATTTGAGGATTCTAAAAATGTCAAAACGGCCAAAGGCTGTCGAAATCGGATGCGGAATTTTTTCCCTACATTTTGATATATTATACGTTTTTTTCGACATCGTATGCAAAAAAAATGTCCAAATTTATGTTTTTTAATTTTCCTAACTAGTAGATGTAGTAACATAACTACATCTCGAAGAATTTTAATTTTTGAAGTTTTTATCATTTTCTTTTGATTTTTTCAAAACTGAAATGACGATACACGCGGGGGAAGTGGGGTAGAGTTTGAAAATTGAAATTCAGGACCCCTTTAGTACCGGTTCGTGGCTCGAACCGGGACTAAAGGTTAGATCTTTAGTCCCGGTTGGAGCCACAAACCGGGACTAAAGCCCTTTAGTCCCGGTTTGTGGCTCGAACCGGGACTAAAGGGCATCGCACCCTTTAGTCCCGGTTCGTGGCTCCAACCGGGACTAATGCTTGCACGTCGCCCGAGCCACTCGAACCGAGACTAATGCTCACATTAGTCCAGATTCATGGGTGAACCGGGACTAATGGGCTTACCCGGGCTGGACGAAAGCTCTGTTTTCTACTGGTGAATAGTTTCACTTGTGAATTTTCTTATAGTGTCAACAAAAGAAACTTCCCAAATCTGAATTTTCCTTATTGATCTATCAAGAAATGGCCACGGTAAGCTTTCAATTTTAGAATTTCTAAGGTAAATTACAGAGAACAGCTCACCTAGTAGCCGATCTGCTGGTGCTTGCCACTTTTCTGGTTCTAGCCTTCCGCAGCTTGGAAACTCGCCGGTACTGCCCTCTTGGCTACTGCTAAATGGAGCGCCGACAAGCCACCGTCCACTGGAGTAAAAATCGCTCCGGAGGGGTCGCCGCCTTGGATCCCCTGCCGCCGACGAGCGACCGATCAATTCGGCTTCAGCTTCCCGTTTCTGTATTCACAAGCCTGTGTGGCCTGCTGCGCTGGCCTGCTGTGGCCCAACTAAGAGAAAGACTAATAATGGGCCTATGGCTATTCCATGGAGTTAAATCATATTTTAGAGTTTCAAAAAATTTCAAAAAGAAATCTACATGAACATACGGATGTATACTAAATTTTCTTCATAATTTCATGATGAAATATGCTTTGGTGTGATATGTACAAAAAAAAATTATGGACTTTTATAGTGAATAGCACGTGGTAGAAATACATATTTTTTTTATATGTGTAGCTTTCACGAAAACGTATTTCATCATCAAAATTTACTGAGATGTAGTTACATCCCTAGATTCATGTGTATTTTTCAGAAATTTTGAAAACATGAAAATACGATTAAAAAAACAAAAACAAGCCCCAGCAGCCATTTCCGTACAAGTAGGTCTTGTTAAACGCCCGCGGCTGCTATATATCTAACCTATTGCGAGATGTAGCATCTGGTCGCCTACATGCGCCTCTAATCTGGGCTGGCCCAATATGCTCCACCGTTGGACGATCTTCTTCTTTGGTGCCCTTCGGTGTCACGTGCGTCTACAAGTAAGAAATGGTCGTCAACACATTTAAAATGTATAATGTGCACTGTGTACCTAGAAAATGTTCAACATTTATTTAAAAATGTTCACCGCGTACCAAAGTATGTTCATCATATTTTTTTAAATGTTCACTACGTATTCAGAACATGTTTAGAGTTACCTAACTTTTTAAAAGAATAATGAATATTTTCTGATTCACATTTTTTGGAAATTAATGAACCTTTGCAAATTCACAAACATTTTTACAAAATTTGTTAATTTTATAAAACTCATAAATATTTCTTGAATTTGTCAACATCTTTTGAAATCGAAACATTTATAAAATTCATGAACATTTTTTGAAATCGCTGAACAAATTTTATAATCCTGACTGACTTCAACCAAGTAAATACTACGACTTACGCCCATCGTCCCTGCCCACAAACGTAGGCACCTTATAGCATCTCTAGCAGATCCGATACTGCAAAATCGTTTTAGGTTTTCCCCTCAAATGTTTTTTCTGGAAAATCAAAGGTTTCGGCAAAACATATCATGTAAAATTCTTACTGGAAATTTAAGAACCAGTTCGCACTAAAAATAGTTCATACACCACCATAATTCGTACACGGCAATTAAAAGTTCACAAAAACAAACTAAACCTTGATTGACCGACTCACTCATCGACACCGAGGTAAATCAACTGCGCGGACTTGCCGCATGCGTGGGCATATGCATGATCCTGCTTTGCGGTCGCGAGACAGTCTACGGCGCCTTCTTCTCCGGCTGCCACCACGCGCTCCGCGGCGAGGAGCTCTGCATCCGCCTCCCGACACCTCAGGACGTGCGGGAAAAAGGGCATCATGGAGGTTGTTGAAGCTGGTCCAAGGGGAGCGCCCGCCGCTGCGGGAAAGGCGTCTGCGGTCGCGCACTTGCTTGGACAGATGGCTCTACAGCGGGCCGGCTGGATCTCTCGACCTCCCCATTGTACCGCATGAGCAGCACCGACCATGGTGGAGGAAAAAATGGCAGATCCAAAGCGGGATTTAATGCTAGAAATGGGCATGGTAGCGGCGACGTGGGGCATTGTGGCGGAGGGATAGGTTTTGCGTCCGGTAAAAGGGTGCCGAAGCCGTAGATATAGCGGCGGAGTGGTCGGTTTGCAAGCCAACTATAAAATTTTATGGGCCGGGCTAATTTTAATGGACTTGTTCGGGCAGAAAAAAGGCTCCATCCGGTAAAACGGTCAGAATTTTATGAGTCGGCGAGGTTTTGCGGGATCTGATAGAGATGCTCTTAGGTGACCAGCGCCACCATCCCTAGCATCTGGCTTCCGTATGCCCTCGTTTGTTCTCCTTTGCCTCTGCTAGCGTCAAGCTTGCCATTCCCAGGATAGCACAAGCAAGCTCTAGGAGCGAAGTACTTCATTACAGGGGTGAGCTCGAGCCGGTGCTATGCGGGCAACCTCTGGATGACATGACCAATCTCGGGATGAGGAAAGCGATATGGAGGCATGGAGGAGCTTGTGACAGTAGGAGAGTTCGGGCTGACACTAAGGAGACGGAGGTGGTGGGCATGTTGGGGCGTCAACGATGACACCTCTCACACTTCGCGGCGCAAGAAGCAATGGAATGCCCATCCTAGAGCTTGGCGAAGATGGCCGCGAACGATTTACC